TAGGATTTAGAGTTTAGGGCTTTAGGGTTTTAGGGTTTTAGGGTTTTAGGGTTTCGGGTTTCGGGTTTTAGCGTTTCGGGTTTCGGGTTTGGTGTTTTTTTCCTGTTCTTGTGCCCTAGGGTTCGGGGCATCATGGCCTGAAGTGAGACTGCATGCCAATCTCTTTTTGCGCTTTGTCATGGTCTCCTCCGTGTCCCAGATCCGAAGCTGTCCGAAAGCCGGAGCTATTCCTCTTCTATCTTTGAGCAGAATGCATCTCAAGATTTAGCTGCGTCGCCCTGAGCCTTTCGCCTATGCAGCCGTGCAGGAGGAGACGAAACAGCTTCACTGCTGCTTGGAAAGGATGCTGTCTTCGTTCGGATGTGAGGCTTATGCAGCACAGGACATTCATGCCGCCTGGGGCTGGGCAATCACAAGGTCGGATCAACCTGCCCCAGGCTGCAGGCGTTTCGAGACCCGGAATCTCGATGAAGCCTTGCAGCCCTGTGCATGCCATTTCCAAAGGGCCTTAAGTTTCGCGCGAGCATCCCGAAGCTGCATGGGAGCCGCAACAGTTGTTGCTGCTGTTGTTTGGACCTCTCTATATCGATTGTCCAGTTGCGCCTGAAGTTGAGTATAGTGGCACATCATGCATGAAGGTAACTGGGCTTCCATGAGCTTATTCAGGTAGCTCCTGCTGCTGTACACCACGTTAAACCCAAAATCGCGAACCTCGAACCCCAACTCCAAGCCGAATTTGGGGGAGCACACCAAGGGAGGCAATTGCAGATTTCAGTAGAAGGCAAGCATGAAATTCCGTGACTTTCATTCAACCGTACATCCGCTAAGCTACATGCCCCAAGCCATCTCATGCCCGAGGCTTCGTGGATCCTGTGGACTATGCCAGTGGCAGGCCTCCAACGCCAGGAGCCCGGTGTCGAAGTCAAGGCTTTCACAGGATTTTGTGAACGGACTTCTCAAGGCTATAGGGTTTCGGGTCTAGCTTTAGTTTGCATGACAGGGGATGGGGTGGTCAGGCGTCATGAAAAGTGTGTGGGTTTTGAGTTCACGGTCCAACGGCCCGGGATTTGGGGTTGCGTTTTGGCTCAAGCCTGGGGCTCTAAACCCCAAACTCTCAACCTTGTGAACACCAAAGCAAAGTAAAGCCCATGACCCCCTGAACCCAAGCCCCCAGCCCGAGGTCGTCCTACCATCTCCTCCGTCAGACACTCACCTTCTTCGAGGCGTCCCCTGGTGCTCCAGAGGTGGCGGCAGCTGCTGCCAGGCCCAAGTATAGAGCAGAGGAGAGCAGAGGAGAGTGGCGTGAGCAATAAGACGGTCTGTGCTTCGAAGTTAGAGTGGCGTTAGCAGTTACGCTTGCCATCAGGAGGGCTGAGCTTCAGAAATGGCTGATTCAAAAATATCAAGACGTGCTCATGTCCGCACCCCAAGCCGGGGCCCAGACAAGTAGCAGCACGGCTTGGCCGGGATGCCCCTGCAGACTCAAGCGGCAGTCCATCCTTCCGGCTTTTGTCATCCAGGTGGTCCCTGCGCATTTTAGCCGTTGCTTTGACTCTCTTTTGGAGCTCAGGCCTTTATCGTCCCTGATCTATCTATCTATTTATCTATCTATCGATCTATATACATGAACAATAAACGTATAGTATAATTTAGCCCCAAATCCTATTGAAAGTATAAGAGGACCTCGCAGGCTGAATGCAGCTCCCGGCATCGGCATGCGTTTTGGGTTCGAGCGAAGCGCAGGATCTGAACCTTCAGCTCTCATTCCTTGAAGCCCAAGGCTGTTGCCCGAAAGCTGTACACCTTCTACTTGCCCCCCATGCATTCCTCAACCTTCCAGCCATTAAGTAACACTTCAAAGCAAGCCTGGAGTCGAAACAACCAGCACCACAGCACATCCGAGTGCGCCCGGGCATAAGACCATGGCTGTCGGTCTGAAGGCCTTTAGGCCCCTCATGAACCCCTCAACCTGAAAGGCCCTGAAGGGCTTCGGATACAGGTAGTATAGGGGCCAGAGAAACGCCTCGACCATGTGCTGACTTCATTTCTGGGTGCACCACTTGCGGAGATTTGGGCGCGATGCCCGTGCCACGGCAGCAACGGACTGCAGGGACGGGCTTGTATTCAGGCTGGGCCTTCGACCGCCAACAGCCCTAACACCACAGCGCAACCTCTTGGGCCGACATAGTTTAGCTTGGTTTCCTTGCCTGACGAAGAGATTTTCCGATTCCCGCGGTCGAGGAGCTCCGTTTTTTGCTATTTTTTTACAGCGTTTGGGTTGATTATTATAACCCTGGCCCCCCCTTGCTGGCTTTTGGGGACTGTACGGAATTCTACAAAACGTCAAATACTTGAAAAAATATAGCGCCTGCAGAGCTTCCGCTGATACTGTAGGGCAGTCTCAAACTATACGGCTCACCCCGAGCGAAACGGAGCTCTTTACCTGATGCATACCATCTCAGCCTATAGGACTTGGGCCCAAGCAAATTGTGAGTTCATGAGTCATTCATCTCCGATCCCGGGGCCCCAACATGTCCCTAGATGAATTGATCCTTGCAGAATTTCAGATTTTTATGAGGGGTGTATAGCAAAAGGATGTACATAAAGGCTGCAACTAGACTAAACCCTGTGCAGCTCATTGGGTCCTTGTTGGCGGGATTCCCGAGGTCGAACGCTTCGCTTGCGCCAACCCGGCCTGCCAGTACATGGCGCGCTTTACGAGGGTTTCGGTTGCATAAGGATTCAGACAGGGAGGTGTCTGACGAATCTTATCGGGATTCATGGCTCTGGGGCTCGAGGGTTTAAGCCTTACGGTTTGCTCATGCTCACAGGTTGCGCATTCGGAGTTCATTTGTGCCCCTGTGGGCCGAGACTTGAACTTCCGGAGTTCGACGAAGCCCCTGGGTGACGCAATATGGGGTTTGGTACGGATTTATGAGTGATGAACGGGCTTAGGGTTCTGTGATGATCACATTGACTCTGGCAGGTTCTGAGAGCCAGAGCGTTCAAGCCACAAGCCTGTTCTAAAACCTATATAGAAGTTTCCTGTATAGAGATGCAAAAGAAGAGAATCAGAGAATCAGCCTTCGAATGCGACGCCGCCCGAACTTATGCAAAGTGTTCCCGGGATGTTCCCGGTTTTTGTTCGTGTCCCTGCTGGGGCATGGACAAGTCTGGCTGGCAAGTGTGTGAGCTAGTGTTGATCCATAGTATGACGAAACGTCGTGGGCCTGTCGTGAACAACCCCGCAGGCTGCAAAGAGCGAGGACTTCGGCGGATACTGCTGCAAACGTGCGGTGGCCGAACTTCTGTGTTTTTGGAGTTTCGGGTCAAAGAGGATTATATAGATTCAAGACCCAACAAACCGCACATCCCTCCAGCTGTCCTTCATTTAACGGACGTTCACAGCCAAGAAAGACAGGGGCTAACAAACGAGCCAGGGTTGTTTTGTCTTTGGGATTTGACGCAGTATCGACTGCACCGGCCCGGTGGGAAAGTGATCAGGTTATATTGCTGCATGGATGCATAGGAATCTAATGAAGCATGCCGCGGGTGCCTATTCAAGCGGATTTAGACCAAGGGGTGTCTTCGTCTGCTGAGTACATGTCACTACAGCAGAAGTTGCTTAACCATCATATGCACACCTGCATCGTTTGCGCGCCTGTAAACAGGATGCCAAACGTAGGAAGGCCTGAACTTGGCTATTCAATACATGTACATATGTACGCACAGTCACCTGCACGCATTGACGCCAGGCGCACACACCCCACACACTTGACGCTGGTAGCTTCCTTCACGGCAGCTTGATACAGAAATACCCAAAGGGTCTAAGTACCCATATAGTAGGTATGTTGGGCCCCAAAGTATCTACGATATTAGTACTTAGACCCTTTGGGATAGCGCGCTACAGGGTAGACGCGCAGTGGGAGCTGAGCAGAACATCCCGAGCTCGATCTGCAGGGATTCCTCTCCACAGCACATCGGCCAGTACCTGGAGGATCATGGGACTTAGTAAGTAAGGTTATAGTTACCCTACTTATAACCCTACTTACTAAGTCCCATGATCCTTTAAGTACACTTGACTTCATACTCTGAGTGGGAGCCAGACAGAGCCTTTCATTCTGCAGTCTGTGTCTCGCAAGTCCAAGATTGGAGGAGGTCATGTCTTGGATATCTAGTATCGTTCTTCTTTCTCTGGAGAAGGGGTTATACGATGCATGGAGTGGTACATCCGGGTTAGCAAGGGTCTTGGATCGGAGAGTGAGAGGCTACCTCGAAGCGTGCATCCCATGTTGACTCTAAGCCCACCACTTACAGCTCGAAGCCGCTCAGGTTGTCATGCGTCCCATGCATATGGGCATGCTCTTACGCATGGCTTTCGATGCTTCCCGGAGTTGCACTTATCATATGCCAGACTCTTTTTTGGTGAGGGTCGCCTCGGGCTCAGGGTGCAAAGAGGTAACGAGGTTGAAGCCATGTCCAGGTTAAATGCAACTTGACCACCGGAAGGGTTATATAAAACACAATGCCTTGCGTTGTCTTGCTGTGTCAAAGGTGTGGGAGAGAGATGGACATGGTAGAAGTAGCTAGTGGGCAACGGCAAAGCATTGGTAGGCGACAGACAAGAATGGTGGCAACAGAGATGAGAGAGAGAGAGAGAGAGAGATCCATGTAGCCTTTCGTGACCCGCACAACTGTTGCCATGCAGTTCAGGTGCCGCAGAAATCGCGCATTGGAAGCTGCCTCGTGCTGCACCAGTTGCCCCTCCAGATCCTATACGGAAAGGACGTGACTTGGCTATGCACTGGGCATTCGGGCTACCTTTACTTTTCAGGCCTGTGCAGCGTTCCAGATGAAACGAACGGTAACCGCATTTTCGATGGTGCCTCAGATACTTAGAGCCCGCAAGTTGTGCTTGCTGGATAGTATGCTGAGGCTGAAACCGGCGTATGGAACCATATGACAATCCTAGAGTCCCAGAGTAAGGCATCGGGGCAAGCCGCCAGAATCTGCGCTGCAGGTCGTCGCAAAGAAGTCATTCTACAACGAGATGAAGAATCGTTACCGTTAGAATGAATCCTAGAAGCAACGAACGAGGAACAGTCTTACATGCTCCGGGTATGCCGCCCAACGAGCTGAACAGAAACTACAACTCTAATACTACTGCAATCATCCCGCCGCCAAATATTCAAGGCAGCAGGGAGCAAAGCGGGAAATGGAAAACTCTGCTTGCAAGCATACTGACTACAGACGTATTTGCTCACATCGATGACAATACAGATTGAACGGTGACCATGCCGTTATGGCGGTGGCGGTAGTGACTGTGATGGTGAGGAGCATGATGGTGAATATTATGGTGTTAGTTGGTGCTGTTTCTTTATGGTGATGATGATGTTGATGACGGGGAAGAAGATAGTGATCATGCTGCTGCTGATGAGGATTATGATGTGCACCTCTAGTTTATGTCGGACTAACAGCAGACCCCTGCTTCAGACCTTTCGTCCATGGGTGCCCAGGTAGAAGGATGCTGGCAAGTAAGTCTAACATGCCAAATTGGTTTGTCCTAAGCCCTGAAGCGGTAGCAGCCTGAGATGCTGCCTGAATCCATGCCTTCCTTGAGCGAGTGTACGAGTGCTCTGCAACCCCAAGTGTTCTCGCACTGCTCTGAGGTGGCAACAACAGCAGAGGGCGGCGGAAAAAGACGGCCCTTTGATTTCAGATTCCTGATGGTGAGTTCTCTCCCGTCCCACTTTGGCTCCGAAGGCCCCCCCTAGATTCCCCGAGGTGAAGAGGCACAGCCTGAGACCTGGCCCGGAATGTCCCTTCGTCCCGTCCTTCGAAACCCTGAAACAATCGAGACTTCGAGGCTCCACCTTCCGAAAGACAACCCATTCATCCTGGGGCCGAAACAGAGCGTGGCAAAGTCATGATCTCAGTCCCGAAATTTGAGTCTCTGGTATTAGATGCGTGTTGGTGGATGGTTTGTTGCCCATCGCGCATCACGCCCAACATTCGGTTTCTTCCATAAACATGAACGTTTCCGTGTATGAGCGCTCTGAGCTACTGCTGTGAGCTTTACCCCAGGATTGGAATTGGGAGACTCCCGCATCGGAACAGTTCGAAGAGGAAAGTGAACCTGAGACCTTGTCTGCATGAAGAGCTCTGCCAAGGTAAGCTAGACATGTACTGCTTGTAAAGCTTGTACAGCGCATGCTGTGACGTAAACACTGCTCTAAGAAATAACCGTGCTTTGTTATTGTTGCAGCCAACCTGTTGCCGCTTTTGCTGCTGCTCCTGCTTCTCCTAATCCTCGTTTGTCTGCAGCTCATCTTACGACTGCAAAGGACTACTGCTAACTACTACTACTACTACTACTCCTACTACTACTACTACTGTGACCACCACAACCACCACCACCACCACCACCACCACCACCATAAAACGACGACGACGACGACTACTACTACTACTACTACTACGACTACTACTACTACTACTACTGCTACTATTAATACTACTACTGCTACTACCACTACTACCACCACCACAACTACAACAGCGAGTACAACAACAAAACTACTACTACTATTACTACTACTACTACTACTACTACTACTACTACTACTGGTGCTACTGCTACTGCTACTGCTACAGCTACGGCTACGGCTACAGCTACAGCTACGGCTACAGCTACAGCTACTTCTGCTACTTCTGCTACTACTGCCACTGCCACCGCCACTACCGGTACCACTCTACTGCTGCTGCTGCTACTACTACTGCTGCTGCTGCGGCTGCTGCTGCTACTGCTTCCTACGACCGCGACAACAATAGCAACACAGCAGCCGCAGCAACAACCGCAACACACCACTGAGAATAGCAGAGTCGCACCAGTAGGAACCACAGCACAAGGAACAAGACCATCACGCAAGCATGTCAAGGCTGCTGCATCTGTCACGGTGTGACAGAGTCTTTTGTACTTAATGGATTTGGCCGAGGATTCGCCTTCGCATGGGAATCAAGTGCTTCGGCAGCCAGGGATGTGGTTAACATGAAGCCTTACAAGTGGAAAGAAGACCAAGTCCGAAGGAACGTCCCGCTGATCATTGTGTGTGTGTGCGTGTCGCTGTTGTCACTAGTCGTAGTAGCATATCTGGCCATAGACATGTGCCGAGCAACAGACCCCTTGAACCTAGGTGGTAGCTGTACGCTGTGAACCACATTGAACCACTGCATACTTGATTCCTACACGCGTATGCACAAGCTTTCTCCAGATTCCAAGCATCCGCATGTAATGCAACGCCACGCGATGCCAGAAGGCATGCATGCCTGCATGATGACATGTATTTACGCATGCATACAGACATCATAAAATGCATGTGTGCGTGCACGCGTGCCTGCATGCATACATGCTTGCTTGCTTATTCGCATGCATGCATACATTCTTCCCAACATATATACATACATACATACATACATACATACATACATACAAACATACATACATGCATACATGCATACATGCATACATTCACACATGCATGTTTACGTGTTATGTGTATATGCACCTACATGCATGCATGCATGTGTACGGACCGACCAGATGTGTCTTCTGTGTACAAATATACACGATCTACAAACCTTAACCCCTGAACTGTTGCTCCAACATCCAACGTCCAAAGTCGGCGTCCTTGAGCCTGAAATCGAAACTGAAGCCTGGAACGCTGAATGCCCAAGACCGTGGATGGCAAATCTCCGCACTGCACGGCAGCCTGAAACGTGAAGCTGCATAGATAGATTGCTAGGCAGGTCGGTCGGCAGAAAGGTAGACAGACAGATAGGTAGATAGGTTTTGTTTAGGTAGATAGGTAGCTAGGCAGGTGTGTAGATACGTACATGGATCCTCAAGTTCTATAATCAAGCCTTCAAACCTGCTGCTCTTCAGCTGAATCAGGCGGTTATGTTCAGCGACTGCTGTTAGTCTACCCACTACACCATACTATACTCCATGCTATGTGTATATGTATATATATATATATACATATTTGTACACTACACTATATACTATACTCTTTGATACTGTATATTCTATACTATGCTATGTGCACCTCGGCTGAAAGCCAAAACAGCCGTCAGCCCCAAGCCATTGGGCCCTGATCCCGGGCCCTTGACTCCGGGTTTGGGGTTTGTAGGGTTTATAGGGTTTAGGGCTCATAGGGTTTATAGGGTTTAGGGCTCATAGGGTTTATACGGTTTAGGGTTTATAGGGTTTAGGGTTGACTCCATGAAAACAGCAAACATGCAGACATGTCCGAGGCCTCTCCTCCAAAGCGTGGAGGGTCGAGCGCGACTGCCGGGCTCCACGACCGGTCTGAAGCTGCTGGGATCCTGCTGTTTTGGCACTTAGTAGGGTTTACTTCGGTTTGCGATGAAGTTTTAGACTTTGGGGTTTGGGGTTTAAGGTTTGGGGTACTCGTAGCAGCTTGCAAGCTGGAGCATGCCGGGCTACCTCTTTCCAAGCGCTGTCTGAAGAGTTGAAGAGAGCCGACCTTCCAACAACAACTGCAACCTCAGGTCGGTTCTAAGGGCTCATTGTTAGAGGATGCCTTGAGACCTGAAGCTTAAAGACTGCTAGGGCCTGGCTGTGGCTGTGCATCATAGCAAAGGGCCGCAAAAAAACTGTGCTGCAATGAGAGCTATGATCATACGACTGCTGAACCGAAGCTACACATCCCAGGCCAAGATGCTGGAATCCCTTCAACCCCCCCCAAACCCAAAAACCCACCTCCAAACCCTGGACCCCGAAGCCCTGAACCGCTTAAACCAAAACACAACTGAAGTCTCTGCTCGGTGTGTCGGCTCCGACTCAGGAGCCCTCCAGGCATCACAGTCCATTCTGGGCAAAGCATCAAGGCGAAAATTATACCTGGGGGCATGATGACCGATACGAGCCTTGAGCACGGACTTAGGATTGTTTTCCAGGATGTCAAGTTGTGTGTGTGTGTGTGTGTTTCGGCGTGTTTGTGTCTGTGTGCGCTTGGTCACCGCAAGCTGCCTATCTTCCTTATTAGTTGTTCAGGGCTTGCTGCTGCATCCAAACTGCAGTCAATCTGATTTGGAGGCTCTTCCTAAAGCCCTGTCTCTGTAGTGGATTTCAATGGTCCAGTGGCGGATCGAAGCAGCGGGAACATCTTGTCGAGATGATGATGCACATGCTGATACACAAAACGATTTTCTTTGCACCCTGCCTGCTGCTCGAACTAGACTAGACTTGACTAGACTATGTTTTCATATACTGTATAACTTACACTACCCTACCCCTCCAGGTACCTACTATATAGGGCCTTAGGGGCTCTAGTACCCTATATAATAGGTACCCGGGGGGTTAGGGTATACTATAATCTCAGTAACGACTCTTCCCCGTGCTCCTCGAGAGCTGAGGATGGTGAATCTCCTCGCGATGCGGCACCAAGTCGAGAGGCACCACGGCCCAGGAGCCCTGTTCCTGATGGCGCGTGGAAGCACGATCGTTTCGAAGAGGTGGATGGACGGGAACCTTGGTTGCGAAGATGTCCCCGTCTTCGAAACAGTTCCCAAGGTAACTTTCGACGCTAGACTGCTGCATGTTTTATCACCGCCTCGATGGCTACAGAAACCGGAGCTCCGGTTCATTCACCCTCAAGTCTATTTCCAAGGCACTGCTGCCCTCCACCACCCACCCTCCCAAAAACTACACGCCACTAAACAAACGAGGTTAACCGCCGAAAGAATGAAATCTTTCCGAGGCACCTGCGCCTCGCAGACGGCCTTCGCCTCCTCGATCCGGGCATTCCGAGCCCATGATCTGGGGCGAGGCTCCACGGCCAGTCTTTGTGTTGTAGGGCTTTGGGTTTAGGGTTTAGGGTGGTTTAGGCTTCAGGGCTTCAGACCTGTCGAACTTTTCGAGTGAAGTATAGATGCAGAGTTGGAGAGCCGACACCAAGCCCGAGCTTCTGTGCTTTTCAAAGGCTGCACCCAGCCATGCGATTGTGATGTGTCTACATTTCATGTTATTTTTGACTGCCCTCTTTGTGAATGCGTGATGCGTTCTTGATTCAATTGGTGTTCAAACATATACCACTCCAGCCATGTGCACGACTGCATGTGCACCCAAACGTATGTTGTGCATCAACGTTCGGATAACTTCACTTAAAACCCGTTTTAGGGGACTTATAACCCCACTTATAACTGCCCACGAAACTCCAATTACAAGCTTATAAACAGTACAATATGCAATCTGTATGTATATATATTTATATATATACACATTTATGCATACGGTGTGCATGTATATATATATATATATACGTAAATCTCTTCCCCCCAATTAATAAGCCCCGGCTCCCAATATTGATTCCTGATTTCCTCGAAATGAGTTTTTATATCTGGGCTTCATTCTGAACCCTTCCTCGGGCAAACCCTGCAGTCCAACGTTCCTGCAGTTGCTGATACCTGCGGTTCCCGGGCAGTGCCTGTAGTCGTTCCTGCGCCCCTGCTGGCTGCGGCTCTTGCAGTGAGCACCATTCATCCGTTCTAGTACACGTAAGGTTTCGGACCGGGAGAATCCCTAATCCTCAACTTTCGGAGGGAAGGACTTCGACTCGTATGTTCTAGTACACACTCGCTCTTGCAATCATACTGGAAGGTTTCGCATGATAGCATAATCCTGAAACATACACGCGAGAGAGAGAGGGGGAGAGAGAAAGAGAGAGCTTCGATATGCTTCGATACTGTTATAGGTCCCAGGATCTGTCTAGGGTCTCCCTACTGACTCCGAATTGTACTGCCCTCTTCGCCCTTTCACACTCCTTTTCGGGCGCAATCCGAAGGGAGGACATTCGGGGGAACGGTGTACGAGTCGGAGAAGATCATATGATGTGTACTAGAATGTTAGTTTAGTACGAGTACAAATCAAACATTAATGCGAGGATAAATATCAGTATACCGAGAACTCTAAGCATACATATAGATATACATGCACCAGAAACTTCGATTTTGGGCCATCTAGAAGTAAACATGATCTTTACCGTCTCTGGCTGGACCTCGACCGTAATGCAGGCCAAGGAGATACAGCAATTGGGCAATTTTCACAAAGACTGAGACCCGTATCCCCGACCTTGAAACCTCAACGCCCATTCCAGACGGAGCGCGCAGCTCACAACCGCCTGGCCTCTCGCTTCTTGCCGAAGCGCCAGCGCACCCAGTCCAAAAAATGATTGCACCATGGTTTATGCATGTTTGGATTCATCGCTGAGGGCTCCGTACTTACCATGATACTAGGATGTCTGCTATATGTAAAAGTGACATGGCTAGGATGTCCACTGCCACCGCCGCTGCTGCTGAAGTACTGCCATTGCCGTTTCCACTGCCGCTCCCACTCCTACTCCTACTCCTGCTGCTACACCTCGTACTCCTACAACAAATATCAAAAACAATTCTCCTACTACTACTACTACTACTACTACTACTACTACTAGTAGTACTACTACTGCTACTACTACTACTACTACTACTACTACTACTGCTTCGGCTGCTGCTACTACTACTCCTCCTCTTGCACCAGTACCAGCAGCAATAGCAACAGCCACAGCAGCAGCAGCAGCAGCAGCAGCAGCAGCAGCAGCAAAAGTAGCAACAACAACAACAACAACAACAGCAACAACAGCACCAGCACCACCACCACCACCGCCGCCGCCACCACCGCCACCACCACCACCCACAACAACACCACCACCAACGACAACAACACCAACAACACCGCCAACAACAACACCACCACCACCAACAACAACAACAGCAACAGCAACCGTAACGACAACGACAACGACAGCGACAACAACCACAACGACAACGACAACGACAACCACAACAAGAACAACAGCAACAACAACACCAACAACAACAACAACACCAATACCACCACCACCACCACCACCACCACCACCACCACCACCACCACCAATTGCAACAGCAACAGTAACAGCAACAGCAACAGCAACAGCAACAGCAACAGCAACAGCAACAACAACGACAACAACCACAACCACAACCACAACCACAACAACAACAGCAACAGCAACAGCAACAGCAACAACAACAACCACAACAATAACAACAACGACAACGACAACGACAACGTCAACAACCACAACTACAACTACAACGACAGCGACAGCAGCAACAACAACAGCAGCTGTTACTACTACTACTACTACTACTACTACTACTACTACCACTACTAACTACTACCTACTGCTACTACTACTACTACCACTACTAACTACTACCTACTGCTACTACTACTACTACTACTACTACTACTACTACTACTACTAGTACTACTACCACCACCGCAGTGTGACATTAAGATTTACCGGGTGCTCAGGGTTTCGGGCGAGGGTTCGTCAGCTTGAGGTTTTCGGCATGGGACACCTGCGTACTTTTGTTCGGCAAATGCCGCTTGCAACCGAAACTGCTTAACTCCCTCAGCTCCACTGTGCTCCCAAGTTCCGAGACCTTAGAAGTCCCTGTAGGCAAGCCTTCAAAGCAGCCATCTTTCCATTCCCAAAATCTCTGCCAGCAGGTTCACCAGAAGCCACTGCCCCACGGGTGAAAGCCCGGGCTGGCCGCCCCGGAAATGCACCAAAGAGTGATTCAGGAGACTGGTATCTTAGTCTGTCCTGGTGCTTGTCTGCGCCGGCCTATAGGTTCAGTTCCGTTAAGGGTTTAATTAGGACATGAGTGTCGGGGATACGTGCATTACATGACGTGAATAGTGATGTTTGTTGTCATGTATCTTCCTTTGGCGAGTATCAGTCAATCTTATTTGGATGTTGTTGCTTTTCGACTATAGTGTAGGAGTCGCCCCACTTTGCAGCATTCTTCATTTCTACCCCTCGTTTTCCACAGTCAGCCTCACCTAAACAAAAAACGAATCCCCAACCCGTCTCCAGCTAGTCATGCCCCAACATGTACTATGGGGGCCTCAATAATCACCAATACTATTTTTGGGAGCTGCTTCTTATAATTATAGTATAACAACGGGCCCCAAAACCCGATTCCAATTATTAGGGCCCCCTTTTTGTGCAGGTTCGAGGTCCTCCAGCTTGAGCCCAATCTTGCACTGAAGGAGGCGTTGAGAGAAGCAGTGCAGCAGCGTCGGTGGCTTCACACCAGTCTACGGAAAGTTCGCCTTTTGGCCGCATATCTCGTGGCTGCTTTTATCACTTGGGGCCCCTTTTTTTTTAACTTGCAGCTTACCCTACCCCCCCAGGTACTTACTACAAAGGGTACTAGAGCCCCTGGGGCCCTTTCTAGCAGGTACCTGGAGGGTTAGGATCACCGGATTATGCAGGGGTTGCAGGAGAGAGACTTCTTGAGACGAATGCAAGAAGATCTCCCAGGTCGATGCCGCCGCTGAAGGCCTTCAACATCCGAAAGTACAAGATGCCCGGCGACGCCTACGCCAAGCGTCAGCTCTACATGGGCGCGTCCTCAGACTCGTCCCCGACATCGCCCGCGTCGCCGGAGCCCAAAAAGCCGGAGCCTTCTCGTCCCGTCACGGCGACGGCTGGGCCCCGAAAGCCGGCTGCCAAAGCTGCAGCGGTCGCACCCGCGGAGGTCGTGCACGACTCCTCGGATGCTACCCAGAGAGTAGCTTGTGCCGGGTTCAGCAGCAATTTTTAGAAAGCTTGTGCAATTGGTTGTGTCATGCTTCTTTTCTCCGTTCGTCCGGCCAGCTGTGGTCAAGAACCTAGGTGCGCAACTTGTCGATGGGCCTGAGATCTGTAACTGCGGTCCTCGAGCAACTGAGAGCATCACTGCGTCAGAGTACATCTGCGCCGACAGGGCCAGTCAAGGTCGAGGAGCCGGGCCGGGGAGGGGATTAGGCACTGGGTCTGGCTTGCAAGTCGAAAATCAAGCTTGACAATTATAGCGTTTATTACTATTATTATTATTATTATATATATATATATATATTCATTTATGTATTTATGTTTATGTAGATGTCGATTATAGGGACCTTTCTGGTAGTTAGCCTCGAGTGTGGGGTCCGGAAGAATTGTTGACGTCCGTGTCATGTAGGGGCTACATTCTTTAGGTGATCTCTATCACTAGTCATTCGATCACTGTTGTAGGTTGTTACTTTGTTTGCAATAGCTTCTGCTGAAATCAGCAGACGGCCGATAGAACTCACTAAAACTGTTGCTGTCGACCATGCGCTGACACGATGCGATATGTTGTTCTGTCAAAGATTTGGACCTGGAGGGGATTGGAGAATGTGTTGTGCATTGCACAGAAATATATAGGTTCTCATAAGAGCCAAGCGCCCGGTTCGTTTGGCAAGCCAGGACAGTGACGACGAAGGATGCGTGATGGTGTCGCCCGTCGAGGACTTCTTTGTCGACTGCCACGTGCGCTAAGTTGGTGGAGACTATCTAGGGGGCAGGGGGGGATTGCCTGTGTGTGTTTGTCTGTGTTTTCGTGCATTCGTCGTTGCGTGCGCACTCTACCGCCCCGCATGCTGAACCTAAAATACAGGAGATCGAGGACATCTACCCTTGGGATCCAGAGCAGCTGGAAGAGGCCACCCCCCAAGAATCGGAGGCCGCCATATAGGCCGACCGTCCCGTCACAAGAATGACTGGCAGCAACCAAGTCGAAAATGTGCAGCTATTTCTGGTCACGGTCGGATTCTCTTGAATCTTCAAACTTCATCGCTAAAGCCCACATGTCAGCTAGCAAGACTCGGATTGCCTACCTAGTACCTATAGTACCCCTTCTTAGCCCAACGTAGTTGGAAGGTAGTGCTACATAGTTAAATGGTGCTTCTAGAGGCAGACGAGTTGATTCGGGGGAGTCCTTTGCAAGCTGAATAGAGGATCCTCAGGAGAAAAAACCACGGCCCCACGAGTCCTTCTGCCTGTGGGCAAGTCTTCTTGAAGGGGCTAGGAACTGGCTGCTGTGACTGCACCGTGCAAGATGCAAGATGCCCGGAGTGTTAGCGGCAGGCCGAATTTAGCTCCTTTATCTCTCCATCTCGCGCTTCTTGGCATAGTTGTTGAGCTACCATTCGCAATGACACTCCAAGTACTGGTGTTGCATGCCCGTTAAAGTTTCTATTCACGTCAAATGTCAGACCCTACCATGAGGACCTGCAGTAATTAAATGTGTATATATATATATATACATATCCTCAGCAACAGGATTTCCTGATCATGACCGTCGGTCATGATCGCAATTCATCGTCATGTTGTTGGAGCGGTTAGACCGCCTTCATCTTTACCATCATTGCGCCTGTGGTGGTCATCATCAATGACATCACGACGATGAAGATTCCTTTGCGTTCGCCCGCGCGCAGGAGTTTTTCTTCAAGACGAAACCATCGTCTTTCATACTATGGACAGCCATTGTTGCATTTAAACTGCAGTACTGTATCTGGTTCCTGTGCAGCTACCAAGCAGCATGGCGGGCAGAAAGAATACTAGCACTGCACGTACTTCCACAGCCCATGTCCAGCCAAGGTCTGCACGAACTGGAAACCTTCAAAAGATTGGCCACCAAACTGTAACCTATACTTTGTTTTGGAGTCAGGTGCCGGCATCATGCAATGCCAAGGCAAAGTAAAAAATGAGAGCAAAGCTTAGCCTCCAGCCGGAAAAGCCAGGACGATTGGTGTTCACGATCTACTCGTAGAATCTCGAGCCCAGACCCAAACCCTAAACCCCATCAAAGATGAGCTTCTGGACGTGTGGATCCTTCTGTGTGACTCGCGAAAGCCACAACCGCATTGCAGAAATGGATTCCCTGGTTGGTTTGAGGTTGAATGACATCTCGGTTCGCAGGGCTTCGCACGTTTCCTGAAACTGGTAGAGGTCCGATATGCGAAGCTTGCGGCAGTCACAGTTGAAGCCTAAAAAATCACCAATACAATTCCTCCTGGCTCCCATGCAAGTATAACTACCCTACAATATCATTACCACAACAAAAACCCCGTGCTGATCATTAAGGAGCGTCATCGCAGTCGCAGGAGCACCTAATTGCGGAAGAAGCTTTATTCCGACGTGCTAGCGCCAGTAACACCGGCAAGCATCGCATTTGCAAAGGCCTGGTACGCCCGCTTGTCAGCAATCCCAAAGGGTCTAAGTACTAATATGGTAGATACTTTGGGGCCCAAAATACCTACTATATGGGTACTTAGACCCTTTGGGAATGCACGTAGACTGCCATGGTGCGGACTCCCTGCCTTCTTGGCAGCATCTTCGTGGCCAAGCCTGTTCAAGGCGGCCAAGGCAGCGCCAAGCCGCAAGACGAGGGAGGTAGATTGTATAGGCTGTACCTATAGTCTCCATTGCAGTTCCCTGTTTTGGTTAACAAATTCTAAATGATTCTATGGTTAGGATCCTATAGTATAAATTGTGTTAGCCAGAAAAGGAACTAGAATGGTTTAGAGTTCAGTAGTCAATGTCAAGAAGGCTGCAAGCGGCCATTCCAGCGGCCTCGTACTGTGTTCGCTCCGTCGGGATTGTTTTGTGCGCTGGCGCATGAATGCACACGTTGCCTCCATAGAGTTTCATAGAGCACCGAGGTGAAGGTGTGTCAGGAGAGGCACGAGATTCGGCTTATAAGGAAAGCTCCGAAACCCTGCTACCAGTCCCCCAGTCTGAAGCTCTGAGCTGTGACAGATGTGCAAGAGCAGAAAGCCGAGCCACTGGCATCCTCTGAAGAGCAGGAGACTCTGCGGTGGTAGTTTTGAGGTTTAGGGCTTAATTACACTGGGTTGAGGTGAAGGGTTGACAGTTTTTGAAAGTTTTAGTTTTAGCGCGTGAGGAAGAGGTTGATGTGACACGGGTTCGGAGTAGCGTTGAAGGTTTCTTGGTCGAGTCATGACTGCGACTACGTCACAATACTTGGGGGCTTGACACTTCTTTCGAAGTAGAACCTGAGGGATACCACATTAATTTTGTCAAGTTCCTGCAGTCTGGCAGTCCGTCTGCACAGCCAAGTGGGAACCCTAAACTACCTCAAGCAAGCAGCTTCATGCAAAGGAGCAGGATGTCCAAAAGCCTTCAAGCTGCATCACCCCAGCGTTGAATTGCCCTCGACAGTGCGCTGTGCCATGCATGGCCACTTAAGGTCCAGAGCCACGAACCTGTGCCCTACACCCCGTTCCTTCCACTTTGGCGGAGGAGGGAAGCGTAAGTTTGGAAACGCCGGAGCACGAGAGCCCGCAAACCGAGTGGCAAGACCTTGCGTCCTGCTTGAAGAAGCTGCAGTCGCACGTGGAGGCCGGTATCTTCCCAAGGGAGTTGACCCAAACCCTGAACCCCTTTCGGGTTTCGGGGCGAGGGTTCGAGGGCACAATGCTTTTAGATCTTCAGAAGTCTTCTTTTTTTCAACAGCATGTAGTTGTTGCAGTCATCTAGGGGCTCCTAACTTGTTCTCTGGAGCTGGATGTGGGATTGTGTCAATGGCAAACTTTCACTTGAATGGGTCTCGAACTCTTCAAGTCCACTCTCGACATGTCCTTGTGCGTCAACTTCGACGAGTCCAACTACACAACCCAATGCTCCAACCACAACCCTACCCAAAGGGTCTAAGTACCCATATAGAGGTATTTTGGGCCTCAAAGTATCTACCATATTAGTACTTAGACCCTTTGGGCCTGGTGATCTAGTATTAGGAGCTGATTGGTCAGCCACGTCGCCTCCAGGCACTTGCAGACGAGCCCGCCCCACCAGGCAAATCCGCTCAGGCCGTTGAGGGTGTGGGCTGTATATATATATATATACATACCTGTATGTATATGCTACGACTACGAGTTTTGTGAAGACCTTCCCGTGACGCATGGCTGTGTTGCCTTGATCTTTGGAGTCCGCTGTTGTAGCAGGAATTCCTGCCATAAGTGCACGCGCGTGGTCGCAACATTATTGAACTTGTCGCCCCTCCCACTGGTACACGTACCGAAACACGTCCAGGCCCAGCCGGGTCAGCCGGGGCAGTGTCTGCAGGTCTTCGGAGGCTTCTTCCATGATCGACGGAAGCCAGAGAAGAGGCACCCGAGTGCCCGAATGCAGGGTTCGAGGTGTAGGGGCTTTGACACATCAAGCAGACATCAATTTAGGGGAGTGCGCTTAGACGTGAAGGAGCAAAACGAAGTTCAAATTCAAAGTTCAACTGGCAGTTTGTTTAAACATGTGACGCTTGGGTCAAAGCCACGACGCCCGACAGCGATTCAGGGGCTCTTTGCAGCTGGGTGGCGTCAGCGTCACGTATCCTTTGTTGGGCTGCCTTCTGGCCAAGGACCGGGTCGACCGAGGTTCAGGGCTGGCAGGGCAGGTTTGGGCTTTGTGCTTCTCCAGGGTTATGGGGTTGAGTGGTTGTAGGGCCTGCAACGCGCTACCTGACCAGGCAGAGAGTGTCCAGAGCTTGTCATGCCGATGCCCGATATAACTCTACAAGAACCTCAAAGCTTACCATGATGGATCGTACAAAACATGCTTAGACCCAATGCCCCTCTAAACTGCCTGAGCGAGTAGAGAGACTGAACTCCAACCAAATCCCTCAAGTTTTTTTTTTTACTTAGCTGTGCTAATGTCGCAGAGCTTGTCTGAGACATGCGGGATGATGATGTCTTCCAGGAATCTCGCGTTAGAAATCCTGCAGTATCCCGATTTGCCTTCTGAAAGTAGGAAGCAGCAAAAGATCCCTCAAGCCTACTTGGAGGTTCATGGGTAGTTCTAACCCCACTTATAACTCCCCTCATAAGGCTCATAAGTATAGTTCCCCCACTTATCACCCCATATTTAATTACCCATGAACCTCCAAGTAAGCCATATAGAAACCCAAAAGTACTTCCTGACATCTGCGGACTTCTCCCCGAAAGCCTCAACCCCTGCCTAAAGGACTGTCTGGTGCTTAGTAGGGAATGGGGGAATGGATTATAGGGACTACTATAAGGGACTTCAAGGGACTATCATAGGGATCCATTCCCCCATTCCCTACTAAACCCCTGCCTAAAGGAAGTTCCCCCGGCGGAAAGCGAGAGCGAGGCAAAGACCCTCGGAGCTTCCGCGAAGGGCCCCGAGGCGCTTCGATCTCAGGCAGAGGCGCTCCAAGCCAGGGAGATGGTGGGCTCTACGGTTTAGGGGGTATAGGGTTTGGGAAAAAGGGGTTTAGGGAGGGTTCTTGTCGGTTTAGGGAAGAAGGGATTGTAGGGTTGAAAAGGCTTCGGTGAAGGCTTATAGGCCAACTTGGGGGCATCTAGGGCCTAGGGATTCAGGCTTTGGGGGGTTGAAGCGGGTGCTTATCGCACTTGGGTGGTACAGAGGCGGGGCGAGTTAAGATGCCGGTTATTATGGTTCACCCTAAGCCCTACACCCAAGCAGCTTGTGCTTTGATTCTCGAGCCCCGAAGCCGCTTCGCAACCATCCGGACAACGACACTTTTAGAGGCTGCGCATCAACCCTGCTGAATCCAACCAGGCTCCAAAGGACTGTAGACATGGGATCTCCAGAGCACCTGCCACACCAACACATCTGAGATGTCGTTACAGAAACGGCCCTACCTGGGCTGGGGCGTTGAACGATTCCTCCCTCTCTGAGCAGGAGCTCCTGGCTGAGGCAGACGGGGCCCGGGAGGAAGCTCGCGTCTGCGAGGCAGAGGGTCTGGGCTCAGGGTTTAGGGCTTAGGGTTTACGGTAGCTGAAAAGTAAGGTAGGAGCGGTAGGAGTGCCTGTCGTCGTCGTCTTCGTAGTCGTAGTCGTAGTGGTAGTAGTAGTCGTCGTCGTCGTCGTCGTCGTCGTCGTCGTCGTAGTTGTCGTAGTAGCAGTAGCAGTAGCAGTAGCAGTAGCAGTAGCAGGAGTTGCAGCCGGCAGCAGCGCCAGTACGAGTGAGCAGTACAACCTATTTTTCAACAGTTGTACCGCTAGTTCCAGGATTCTTTGTCCTGTCTTTAGTACTGCTATGATTTTCATTGTGCGCTTATCACGCAGTTTTCCTTTTAGGCATTGTGCAGGAGCTGCCACGACTGCTTTCAGGTCGGGGGTTGGTAGAGATGTTGGATTCCATACAGAGTAGCGCAGCCTCACGGTGTGACGGTTTCAGGTATCTGGGGATTGCCATGACACAAGCCCTTCTGGGCGCTTTTCGTTACCCAAATGTGTGGGTTTTTTTGAGCCGAAAGTAATCTCATGGCGCTCCTGAACCCTTAAATCCCGAACTTTAAGCATATAAGGCCTTTCAGGATGTCAAGCCTCGGACAGGGTGGGTGGTTTTTGGGGTCATTGGCTGCCCTATACATGCTACCATTACACTATGCTGCCCAGTTTCCGAACCCTAAACCCTAAACCCTAAACCCAAGCCTTCCTCGCGAGGTGCGACTGGGGGATCTGGAGGCTGAGGAGGCACGGCGCTGTGCCGAGGTCTCAGACTTGGAGGCTCCAGCCTTCACCCGAAACCGAAAGCCACAGCCTAACCGCCTAGCCTCACATCCCGGTTGCAGCTCGTATTCATTACCCTAACCGTCCGGGTAATAGGGGCTTTAGTACCCTAGAAAGTAGGTACCTGGGGGGTTAGGTCTAGATACCCTAGACCGCACAATCCCTGTAAGCCTTCCTGGAGGCGATGGAGCCCAGACTGGAGGAGGCCCGAAAAACTCTCCACGCTCTTCGGGACCGGGCTGGCAAAATGCTGCTGGAGCTGAAGCCCGTTGGGGCATGCTCCAGAGAAATGACGGTAATAGATAGTATGTAAACGGATATCTGCATGTTCATGTGTATGTGTGTGTGTGTGTGTCGGTGTTTCGGTGTTTCTCGGTGTGTGTCGGTGTATAATGAACTGAACGGAACCGAAACAGGAGGCCGCAGACCAAAATGATGCCGAATGTGAAGCCTTGGTGCAGCGGCAGGCGGTCGCGAAGCGTTTGGAGCAGATGCGTGCTGGGTTGCGGGCGGATAAGGCACAGCAGCGACTGACTAGAGCAGCTTTGTCAGAAGCGAAAGAAGAGGAAGAGGAAGTGGCAAGGCATGAGGCATTGCTTCGGAGAACTGCCACGAAGGCAAAGGCCGAGGTCAACCAGCTGAAAGAGAGGCTGCAGCAGCTGCGGGATCGTGATGTGTCCAGACAGCGGTACTGGGAGACAGTGCCATCGATCGAAGTAGACAAGCTACAGCTCAAGCGTCTGGAGCTCGTCGCTTACCGCGATCAGGCACGAGCACTGAAGAGGCTGCTGTCGGAGCAGGAGGCGAGAGATCTCGCTCGGCAGAAGGCAGCGTCCGAATTGGTCGAGAGCCTGGCGCTGACCTTGCGCCGTGAGAGTATCGGGAGCATAGCGCCGATGGCAGTGTCGCCGGCGTCGGCTAAAGAGGCCCTCGTGGAGCATGTGGTGGAAATGCGAAGGCTCCAGGCACGAAAGTGCGAACTGGAGGCACGCTTTGATCGTGAGCGCCGCCTGCGCGCCGCCCTAGAGCGCAGGCTCCAGGCACCAGTGGCGGAGGTGCCGGCGGAGGCAAAAGTTTTTTCATCGAGAGGCCAGTGCCGCAGCCGCACCTCGCCTGCACGATGTATTGAGAGGAGGCTGCAGCAGGCAATGCCGCTGCAGGCTCCCGAAGAGATAATCCAGGAGCCAGTGACAGCAGTGAGCTGCAGACCACTGCCCTCCGCTGGCCCGGTCTCCCCATGGTCAGAGGACCTCCGGAGGCTGGTTCGTGCCATTTCACCGTAGACGTTCCCTGAGAGCTTTTCGGCACATCTCATGATACACATGCATGGCTTTAGCCTGACGCATGCTGTAGATACTGCTGTCATGGTTCAGCAACATGCCCGAGATGTCACTCAATTGCCCCTCTCCAAGCTGCCGCGGCTTGCGTTGCCACATGTGCACGAGCTGCCAGTACCAGAACGGAGACAAGGGCCGACTCGACTTGGTAGTGCGCAGTAGGAGCCATGTGACCACGCTGACCCTGAGGCAAGACTTCTCGCTGATTAACGGTTTTCTTCGTAGGCCTTTGCCGGATACCCCTAAATATAGAGCTTTTTCTAGCTAGGCACGTGAACATAAACTGGCAGTCATTGCCTGTTTGAAGCATGTTCGGATCACTGGGAATGTTGCAATACTCTTGCCATGTCTCAGCTAGATTGGAGTAGCATTTGTGTCCGTAAAGCTTGATTCACATGGCAACTCCGATGCTGCATGGCTGCTCTTGTTACATATAACAAGTGTGCTTTCATGAGGACGGTTGCAGTGGTGGTGATGGCGGTGATCACTATCGTCGTCATGCTCATGATAATGGTAAGTCTTGTTATTTTGTGTTTTTCATGGCTTTCATCATCATGATTTTTTGGTTTTTGTTTGGACTCCGACAGTGCCAGGACCAGGACCAGCAGGAAACTGTAGGCAGTTGGACGGCCTTCGGGGCGGCCACACCGGCTACAAGGCCACGGTCGGGTCAGAAAAGGTCTGAGTAATTAGTGATAGTGTCCCCGTATTAGGTTATATTCCCTGCATAACTGTACTATACCACAAGCCCTAACCTGTGTTTGAAGGTTGAGAGATCTGGGACCGTTTCAGGCTTTCAGCATCAGGGTTCGGGGTTTCCGAGTGAGGGTTCAAACCGTGTAGGGTTCTTGTGAGCTAGGATTAGGGGATCCCTTGGGGATAGAGACCCTCTCAACAAGTTCCCCTTTAAGAGAGCCAAAAGTAGGGTTCAGAAGGGGTACCCTTTAAGGCTTTAAGGGGTACCCCTAATCATACCACCTAGTTCTGGCAGTTCAGAGTTCAGTTCACCTGCCAAAACCAGTGTAGGGTCTCTGCGTTTCATGGCGGCGCAGGTCCTTTCCTGGACCGAGTTTGTAGGAAAGTAGACGGAACCATGCAAAGTCCTGAGGAAAGAAGTGGGGTGTAGTCTCCTCTGAAACTCTATACACAGATAGCATACTTCACTGCAGCTACATCACGCGCAGCAACAGAACACATCCACCCCGAAGTACAGCTACCACAAGAGGCAGAAGCCTGGAGTCCCTAAACCACTAAACCCTAAGCCCTAAGCGTAAAGAGTGGTTCCCTTCGTCCAGAAGGCCCGCCTATCATCTTCTCGAAGTTGGCCGTCGTAGCATTCAGAAAGTCCGACGACCGACGAGCTCTTTGAGCTAAAGAGCCTCGAACGTTAGCACACCCCGCTGCCCCCCCGCCCCATCCCCGCATAAATGCCCTTCGCCCCAAAGCCCCATCCCGGAGGAGGTGGCTGGAAAAGCTGCACCTTGTCAATCTCTTGGCAGTGTCCCCTCCATTTCTTGGAGCCTTCTGCTCATGAAATTCCGCCTTTGCAGTGGGAAGTAGACTGGACGCCCCTAAACCGAAAGGCGACACGACCCTAAAGTCTCACTCCTTAAGCTTTACTAGTAGTTCTCCGGAAGCTTATTAAAAAAAACACAAAAAACTTTCAACCCTGGAACCCGCTTCAAAAGGTCTCGGGCTTCATGCTTCATTCGAGAATACTTTCGGGGGATGCGGGGCTTGGGTTCTGAGTGCTTTCGGATCCAAGGTTTGTATTTCAACGTCTATCGGACTTTGAACTTCCGCTCACTGCTGCAGCTCAGGCAGACGCTCTCCGGTGCAGGACATCTTCGGAAGAGCTACTGTGGAGCGCTGGATTTCGAGGTCTCCAGTTTGCACGGACGAGACAACCTGCCTAGAACTACGGGCTTGGGGCAGTGGGAAAGGATGGAGTTTCCGACACTTCGGGTGTGACGTTCTAAGAGTCGGAGGTGTGCGAGTCGAAGCGCAACTTGTGCACGAGAGTATCGCAGAGTCGTCAGCCTCGGGGGTTCTGACCAGGGGCCACTTAGGGCCCCAAGACCTACGAAGCAGCATGATGAGACTCTTACTTCCAGGGTCTATCGTGCCTCGCATATTCTGCAACTCCCAAGAGGTACATTTCAATTTGTGCTGGTGGCTCATGCGAAAGCGCAAAGCCTGCAGGGCCCTTTCTTTCGTTCTAGTCAGGGCCTTAAGGTCAAGATGCTCTGAAGCCCATCCAAAACACGTGGACCCCAGGTGCCGGCTTGATGTTGTCGGCTTCGGCTTCGGATGTGTTGTGGACTAAAGACGAATCTGCCGCGCTAGGCCGCCCCAACCTGCGAAATCTCAAACCCATGTACCTGTGTACGTAAACCCTATTCTGGTCAAGCCACTTAACTGGCTCTGCTCGGCAAGGGTCCCATACTACCTATAGTCCCCATTGTAGTTCCTTTTTTTGGTTAGCCAAATTTGTAATATAGGATCCTAGCCATAAATTTGGTTAACCAAAAAAAGGAACTATAATGGAGACTATAGCTAACGCCACTGCAAGACACCTGATTAAGGAACCCTGGCCATATAACCCCAAATGTATATATATATATATACTAGACA